ATGTCAAAAAGAAAAAGTAAAAAAAAAATTTAAGCTTTTTATGCAGCTTGTTATCTAAAAAACAAATATAGCAGATATCCCGCCAATGATAATCTTAGAGTGCGGCAAGTACGACCAAAAGCTTAGATCCAAATATTCCCCCCCTCTCTCCTCCCCCATTAGTCTTCAAAGGTTGGATTCATTTCATTGGATAAGGAATTTCTCTGGGGTTCGGGATGAGCCTTTCAACACACAATCAATCAATAGTCTAAATCCCCGGCGTGTGTTTGTGCAAGAGATCTTATCTTTGTGATAGATGAAATCCTTACTTCATTTGGTCGATCGTCCAAGCCCACATCCACACAAACCAACTATCGCGTTTATTGTTTCTCCCCTTTTTGCTTGTTTAGTGCATCCCCATTAAACATGCTTTGAATAATAAGAGATGGGTTATTGAATGCGCGCTGACTAAACCAACGTTTTTATTCTGATTATTGTTAGAATCAATACAATAAATACAATAACAAACTGTTTACATGCCACCGACTACCATTAACGCTAGGTGGGGGGGGGGGGTGATTTTGTAAAAAAAGAGGGGGGAGAGGAGAAACAATTATGTTGGTGTTACAAGGCAATCACATACTTTTCTAGATATGCGTATGTGTTAAAGAAAAAAAAACTCTTATTCGACGAACATTTGTTGTTATTAACAAGAAAAAGTCATCAACATTAACTTTTTATTGTAACACTCGAGTATTTATATTCCCACCTTATTGTCCGCATGTTTATTCTATTCGATGCTTTCCCCTTCCCTCTCCCCCCCTCTTCCCACATTGTTTGCAAAACTCCTCATTAGACTTTTTGACGTGTGTTCCGCTAAGCTTTTTACACCAGTTGCACTTACTCGGGGTTTTGTGCCATGTAAAAATTTTCAAAGTTTATTTCTATTCATTAACCATTTGTAGTAGCTCTTATGCAGTCGATGATAGTAACTTAACGTAAGCATGTCTTCAGAGGTTTATCCAAAGAACGTTTCCCAATCTCGATTTAACTATGTGCATGAGCAACATGACCAAATGAAGGGGGGCGGTGTTGTGTGCCCCAGGGCCATTATTATTCGAGATGGGGGGCTTGAGAATTTTGGGCACACGACAATCGTATATATTTGGTATGTCACCTGATCATAACGCAAATTTTTACTCTATTCATCTAACGGCTATTGTTCTTTGTGGCTCCTGATCTAATTTCCCACCCAGGTATAATTAACTGGATGCGAGACAAATGTAAAAGAACTTTAAATTTTTTTGATTTACAGCCCACCGCCTCAACAGTAAACAAATACGCAAAATTTTTTTTTCGGATTGAACAACAGTGAGCGCTATTTACATTATGGGTGAGGCAAAATAGAAAAGAAACCCAACAACATGCTTATGTGTGGGAATTGAAGCAAAATAACTGGTCTACTAAGTAAAAATGCACTATTTTTTTTTTCCTTCACCGAGTAGTCGATCAATTAAGTGTGAAAAAAAAAAAGTATATACTATACGATCGATATATTACAAGAACGTTTAGACTATTAACAAAGGGGGCTAGCGTTCCTCTCTGCATTTTCCATCTACTGGCATTGTTATCCCCGACGTCCAAATATTATCTTTAGTAAACAACAATTGACAATTAGCAATCATTGTTAATCAAATGAGAAGTAAAATAAACAATCAGCTTCTTTAAAGCATGTTTAATATACAACGTATACCAGACATTGACTTTTTTTTTTCTCTGTTACCAATGAATAATACGCACGGCCACTCGTTCAATGTCTTAAACATCTCATTGTCCGAGTTTTTTTACCCAGTTTTACTTTTTTATATACTCGTATGAGAATATGAACGATGATCATTGACAAAAATAGTCAATACAAGTCATATTATCTCTCGGAGCTTGTCACTTCTAAATTTGGACATTGCGTCATGAGTTCATTTTTTTATGCGTTACTTTTAATAATCGGCAACTTTTATACTGTTTGTTTGGGAACAAGCAGAGAATGGAATGCCCTTGGCAAAAAAAAAAAAAAAGAATCATGTAGTACTCGTAGGTTGCTGTCAAGGAGATAATCTGTAAACTTTACTGCTGTGACATCATGATCGAACGGATGACAATAACAATAACAATAACAATAACATTAACATTAACGATAACGATAACAATAACAATAACACTGACACTGACACTAACAATAACACCGACACACTGACACACTGACATACCGACATATCGACATACCGACAGACACCTCTGGCAGAATTTTGGGTGACGTCATAAATTAAGCTACTAATGCCGGATAGTAATGCCGCTAATGCCGTTATCATTGCCATCAACATATTAATGATTACACACGTCCTTATTGGTTCACAAACCAATCAGGCTCACTTTTTCTGCACTCTGACCACAAGTTTTGCCCTTGTTCACCTAATTATCCAACCACATCTGTCCAATACTATTTAATCCGCGAAAAATGTGAATTATGGAAAGACCTGTACGAGAGATGCATGGCTTATTTTCTGCCGCTGGTCATGTTTCACTTCCCTTTCTGCAAATAGGACAGCATCCTACATACAGCATCTCAAACAAAGAGAAAGTCGATCAATTTGTGAATAGCATTCCGTTATAGCTTAGACCTTGCTCAAACGTATATACTCCTCATCCGATACTCTATCAAGACAAGCGTATGACTGTTGCCAACACATGCAATCATTACATTGGTCTGGTGTGGGTGTGTGGGTAACGTAATGTACATAACGTACATAACGTACATAACGTACACAACGTACACAACGTACATAACGTACAGTACAGCAGATACAAGTCTCTATTGATGCAGTATTCCGCAATGTTTTCGTTCTTATTGTTCATAACCGAGGGCAACTGACCGGAAAAAAAAAAGATTATTCGGGAAACACTGCCAAGTACGCCTTTGTGTTCACTTTTTCTTTTTCATTTGTTCAGTTAGCGAGAAAAAAAAAACAGTGATAAATGAATTGAACAGCCACAACCTTTATACAGAAATTTTTATACTTTTTTTTTTTTTGTTTTCTGTTTGTTTTTCTTTTTCTTTTCCATTTTCTTTCCTTTATTGTCAATCGTTAACAAGACGGATACAATTTATCAATTTTTCCGATTGTGATTGAATTAGCGGACAAATTGTCTTATATGACCAATTGCCTAATAACGTTATTTTGTATTACATTTTTTGCCTAAGTTTAAATACCTATTTTTGTGTTTCCCATCCCATTCAGCCATTCGACCACTTCGTACGCTAAACATAAACTTGTTATATCATAAAATAACCGCTTAATTTTTTATTTGTATCTTTAATTGTAAATAAACTAGTTAAAAACTAGTATTTTGTCTTAATGTAACTATGGTACAGCATTAGTTTAGTTTAGGTCACATCCGGTTTCCTGTTTATTTTGCCCAACGGCGTACGGGGTTGACATTGAATGCTTCTATATCCAAACAAACTTTCAATAATTCCGGTCATTTCTTACAGTCAATAAGGTATGTTTCACTGTCCGAAATTGGGTTCACCTACTCCAGCAGTATCACTTGACCTCAAAATGCCTTTCTTGGCGGGAGTCTGACCATTATGCTACACGTTTGGATTAATTGAAACGGATTATACTTAATTGCGAGAATTACATTAGGTGGTGACGTAACCCTGCTGATCTAATCCCTATTATTATGTATGTGTGTGTTTGTATGCACGAGCAAGCAGCCATAAAAGAAAACTTAAAAAAAAATTACAGCTAAACGAGTATGAATTAGAAAAAAGAAAAGATAAAACACAATAGGATCACTTGTTTAATTCCAGTGAATATACGGCTAAACTTATAAAAGCTTAGCCCGTTAAAAATGATAATAATGCGAAAGGCACATGATCATTGAATAGAGAACGAACAATAATCCTCATAGACAGAAAAAGTGTTCATTTACGATACATACAGTTTACGTAAGGTAATGTACGCCTACTACTTAATATTATATAAATGCAGTACATTTGTTTATGCTTTATATTGTTTTATTTGTTTCATACTGTTTGCGATTTTGTTGCGTATATTATATCTCTTTATTATACATACATACATGCTACATACATGCTACATACATATACATGCCAGACCATGCATCTCAATTACACTTCGGCAATTACTATACTCACAACCGAATTGCCCGCACGAAAATCTGCAAAAAAAGAAAAACGTTATTGGACATTGAACAACAACGACGACGACGACGACGACAGCAATAGCTACGACGACAGCAAGTATTTTCACATTGAACAAATTGTCTTGTCATTATACTATAAATATAATTATAGCATCGTTGCACCATGCCCAAGTCTTTAAGGAATATTGAAAAAAACAATTTTTTACATTATCCCATGTGGGGGGAAAAGTACATTACCTAAATGGTTTATAACAGATTCTGCCAATACGGGGGGAATAGAAGGCCTTTTTTCGTGCATTTTGTAACAATGAGAGGAGGTAAACAGTAAATAAAAGCATAAAAATAACGAATCTAAAAGTAACAACATAACAACATTCATTTTATTGATATGCTTAGATGAATCTATCATCAGATGACATTGTACAGTATGTATAGTATATTTCGACAAGTTTATTATTAGTAATATACATAAATGTAGATGATTGTTATCGTTGTATATACTGTTATTATTATGATAATTTATTAATCACTGATGTGATGATAGTATGTAGTACGGATTGTGATACATTGTAAACTAACAACCAAACCCAACCCCCCTCTTAACCCCACACACACAAACATTAAAATTATATATAAACGTTCAAGATTCAGTCATCTTTCTCGTCACAACAAGGATTCAATCACGGAAGGACCGTTACAGTCCCTAGCTTCATCTTGTATATTATATCTTATAAATATATATAAATACCCATATTATATATAGTTTACGACCCTGCATACAAATTAACGATATAATCATGTCTGATTATAATTTATTCAAGAAAATGAAGCTTTCCGAGTTCGTCGAATGGAGCACCAATCAACTAAAGACCAAATATCTCCCGACTCCACCGGCTTCTCCCGAACTCCACCCGTCGGTGCAAATGGCGCTTAACCCTCCGCCACAGAAGGGCTTTCACAGCGATTCGTCCACGACCAAGACTTCAGAGCATGTATTCCAAAATGACTCTAAAAACGGACGACCAACTCTTGCCGAGCTCGATTCTCAGGGTAACCCTGCTAGCGACACTACCTTCGACAACGTGCCTCAAACTCCCCCCACTGGACGACTATCCGTGACAATTTTCGCAGGTCGCAAACTTAATGTCAATAGCGTCCACGCCAAACCCTATTGCGTTGTACAATTCGAGAAAAATGAATCCATCACTCAAGACGCAACAAGAGAGGGGGCTTTACCCCTACAGAGGGGGGGGCAAATCGGTGGATTTCTTAGATTTAGTGCATGCGGCTACGAGTCCCGTATGGAACCAGACTGTAACCTTGTGAGTATTAAAGTTGTTATTGGGGAGGGGGGGGGGGGGACGGGGAGAGGAGAGAGGTCCATGATCTTATCAATAGTATGTTAGGTCGTACTCAGTCGGTATCGGTTATAACAAATCAGATACAAAATCATAAAACCCGAGCTCGAAAAAGCAACTATTTCTGATATGTTAATGTTGATAAGCACATGGGCTGACGACAATGACGTGTGTGATCATAAGGGGGGAAAGGGGAAACGGAGGGAATCGATACTATGATTATTCTGTTTCTTTATAAAAAACTTGTTTGCTGACTATTGCTTGTTTGTGACGTCATCAAGTGACGTCTCTCGCTTAGATGAAGAGGTCCACGTGTATGTATATGAACGCGTTCAGAACGATCAATCCAACGAAATCTTTTTAGGCTATTTGACAATCAAACCACCGAGAAGAAATAATGAAGTCATTGACGGTTGGTTCAAGTAAGCTAATCATCCTACATTTTTATGTATCCGAGCGAAGAAACAAATCACGCGAAAAAAAAAATACATATATGTATATATATACGGTATATATGTATTTCACAAGATGCTCACCTTCTCTCTTTTTTTTTTTTTGTTCAGGTTAATGCCACGCGGCAAGGATGTTGTTTCAGGTGAAATGCACGTTAAAGTAGCATATCAGGCCGTGGCGGTACGTGATCACATTTATAATATCTATCCTTACACAGCCGTAATTCTCGAAAATACTTACAAGGGTCCGAACCCATCATTTTAGAAAACTCATCTTACTCCCGATTCGTTTGAGATCTTGAAGCTTATTGGTAGAGGAAACTTTGGACGGGTATTCCAAGTCCGCAAGAAAGACACCAACCGTATCTATGCTATGAAGGTTCTCCATAAACAAGACCTTATAGAACGTCGCGAAGTTCAACATACACTGGCAGAAAAGAATATTCTTATTCAAGCGGAGGCTTGCCCATTCCTCGTAGGCTTGAAATTCTCCTTCCAGACAAAAACGCATCTTTATTTGGTAACTGATTTCATGAACGGAGGAGAATTGTTTTGGCATTTGCAGAATGAAGTAAGATTGGCCGAAGAGAGGGCAAAATTTTATGCTGCTGAGATTGTTTTGGCGTTAGAGCACTTGCACAAATTTAATATTGTTTATAGGTAACGTACCAAAAAAAGGGGGATGTAATAGGAAAAGGAGATGTAATAGATGTAATAGATGTAATAGGGGAAGAGGGGAAAGGGAGGTTAGGGGAGGAGAGGGGAGGAGAGGGGAGGAGAGGGGAGGATGATGAACCATCAGATGAAAGATCAGACAACTAATTACAAGTGGGAGAATGAAAGATCAGACAACTAATTACACTATTAACATTCATGCGTTAATAGAGATCTAAAACCTGAAAATATTCTTCTCGATGCTACTGGTCACATCGCTTTATGCGATTTTGGTCTTTGCAAAGAAAATCTTGGTGCTGGTCAAACGACGAATACTTTCTGTGGTACATCAGAGTATCTGGCGCCTGAGGTCCTCGCTGAGTGTGGGTACGGCAAGTCCGTTGACTGGTGGAGTCTCGGAATTCTTTTCTATGAAATGATCGCTGGCTTCAGTCCGTTCTATACCCACGACACTCAGATGATGTATAGAAGAATCCTGTTCGGCAAACTCAAGTTCCCCAAAGGGCTATTCAGTGATGATGCCAAGAGCCTTATCAAGGGTGTAAGTATTTGATGGACGTGAGATAAGAACATGAGATTGCGGATTATATGTTTCTAAAGGCCGCGTCGTCAATATTTACTTGTCCATTAACAAATGCTCTTTTTTTCTTTCTTGGTAGCTCCTTGCTCGCAATCCAGGTCATCGTCTCGGCACACATCACGATGCAGAAGAAATCAAGAATCATCCGTTCTTTGCCTCGATAGACTGGGAGGCACTCTGTAATAAGCAAGTATCTCCACCATTCAAACCAAATGTCTCTTCTGACGACGATACATCGTGCTTTGATCCTGCTTTCACCGAAGAAGAGACTACAATCGATTGGCCGACTATATCGAAAACTCTCAGTCGTAATGGGACCAACGCGAGCGAAGTGTTTAGTGGATTTACATATTCAGGCGAAACTGTTGTCGGTATTGGACGCGAGTCTGCCACTCTCACAAATTCTGGTAATTGAGGGTGTCGCAGAAATTAAAGTGGGATACGTCACACAAGATATATTCCATATGTAAGAATATAGAAAAAAAAGGACAATGCCATCTTATATGATGACACCAAAATAGTTGAATAACTTTTGTAAAATACTTTTTCCCTTTAAATCTTTTTTTTCTTCCCGTTTTCCCCCTCCTCCTCCTTTTATCCTTGTTTCATACTGTACACTTTTATTCCGTCATTCCTTTGAATATTATAATTACCATTTCCTCCCACTTCCCACATTTACTTAACAATTGTGCACATTCAACACCAAAAGCACAAATGATGAAAAAAAAAATCCTAAGAATGAAAAGGATGGAAAGAGATGCCGATACGGCGTTTTCCCCCTTCTTTTCTCCGTGACATCTTTATAAGCTTTTATTTACGTAAAAAAAACACTAACTTTTTTACAATATTTTTTAATCAAGGATCTTCCCACTACACTTTTTTTTTTTTCACAATTGTGGAAATCCTCCACGGTTATAGTGTAGGGAAGAATGTATATATGTTAATTTCATACGTGTTCTTTGTCTTGTCATTTTGAACAGTAACAAAAACAAAAAGCAACTTTTTTTTATAAGCTAACAAAGAGAAGGAAATCATTTTTTTGAGCGGGGACAATGGCGTAATTCGCTATGAATGTAATTCGCGAACCTTCCAGCGAGAGTGTGTTCACTGCGACTACTCATCACTGATAATATCGCAAATAATAACTTGTCATTGTTGTTCATGGTCTATCGCTGTTCCTCTCTGATTTCCTTCTCTTTATGCTCTATTTACCTTTTTTTCTAAAGATGAAAAAAAAAATGAAAAAGGTTTTGTTAAGTGCGGTATTGCGATACACCAAATTGATATAAGAAAATTTTAATTAGCGATTGTAATAATTCAATAAGGTTTTGTTATATTTTTTCTCTTTGGGGATAGGTTTTTTTTTTTTTGAACCCTTAACCCTTAACCTTTTGTTTAGTCAACCCACACAATTCATCACCACGCTGTCAATTGACGGTTTTTGTGAAATTGTTTTACGAGTGAGTTTGGAGTTGGGGTCAGTTTCGGGAAAACAAGGCAATTTTAAGAATAGTTTTCTAGTAGAGATAAGTATTGGGAATGAGGAGGTTCATTTCCCCTTTTAACAACTCCCTCTTTACTATTTTTCTTTAACATATGTTATGTTAATTTCCTGATGATACTATTCTTTGTCAGGATAATCATTGCTTTTTTCCTTACTCAGTCTGCAGACTGTTTGACCTCTCCAACTCTTCTCGTTCTTAAGCATGCTAAACATTTAATATCATGGGTTTTGTAATATCCCCAACAAAGAGAATTACGATTAAAATAATAAAAGATGTCCTCAGATCTTACTATGCTCAAAATACGTAATTATTTCAACGTCAGAGTTACAGACATGAAGTGAATATGTTTTTATAAAGTGTATCATAATAATAATGAGACGATTCAACAGGGCAGTATCTGATGTTGGCACTCTTGTAAAATATCGAATTATTATCACGTGACCGAAGAAAAGAGTGCGAGTAGATGACTAGTTTGTAAAAAACGATTAGATATACAGTATATCCAAAACGCGTAAACATCATATTAATGTGAGAGTTTTTATTTCCTAACTAGAGGTGTGTTGTGTGGCCGACCGATTTCATCGGTCGGCTTTTAGCGATTATACTATTATTTCCTAATTAACCGCTTTTATCTACAAAAGTTGTTCCTTCCAACATTCCAGTTCATAATGCTTCTGTAAATCTAGTCAATAATCCACTCCTATTCTCAATATCAACCTAAACGATAGGAGAGGTCAGGTGTGATATTTTCGTTTATTTACTATTATTCCGTTTTGCAACTGTAAGCGTACAGGTTCCGCAATTTACTGAAGCGTATTTATCTCCTATGACAGTTCTGACACCTGCTACGAATATCCTAACATCATTATAGTCTTTATGTTGTCTGCTTTATTATGCATAACAAAAGACACTCTTTCGTTAAATTTTTCAAATGTCTCTCCGTAAGGCAAAGGTATTTTAATAGATTCGTAAGAATGGAGGTTATCCGAAAGTTGCTCCACGCAATAAGTAATTGTGTGACCAATAAAAATAAAAATAAGATAAGGATGAAGATAAATAATACCCAAGGCCATTCTCGGCAATATTTGCAGCTTTAATTTTTCCGCAATGGCATCGGCCGTTTCTAAGGTGCGATAGAAAGGGTTTGATTAAGCTTAATGTTGTTTTCGACCAAATAAGTCGCAAGTTCGCGGGCGTGTTCACGTCCGTGGTCAGAAAGTGCTGGATTATAAGTAAAACCAGTTGGGGGAAGCCGGTTTTCCGAAACCAAATCAGAACGTTCCCCATGCTAAAGAATGCTTTATCAGAACGTAAGAAAAAATTTTCATTTTGCTAAATTTCAAACACACAAGTGAAATAAATAGTCTCGAGCATTTGGTCGTAGTACAGAAGCCGAATCCAAAAACAGGAAGGCCGTATTTATCTATACGAACAATATCTTTTTACCATGCCCTGTCAAATTATTTTTAACGTTTAGACTGGACATTGTATTATTGTTGTATTGTATAACAGACGACGGGTGCGAGAAAATAAAAGATGCCCATGTCACAATACAATATAGACGAGTTCATGATGTCAGCAGACGATGAAACAATACAAACACAACACGAAACTTTTTGAATTTTTTAATTTAAGAAATTTGTTTATTATATGGACCTATAGAAAATCGATGTTTAGTTTATTTGTATTTACAACGAAATACCTATGGTGCACCAGTATTCGTTCGTCAATCCAGCAAACCGACAACATTCCTTAATTGAGCAAATCATAACGGAATATTATTTCGTTATATATCATAATTCTAATTCTGTGACGTTTCTCAAGAGGCAGCAAAAGTCTGTATTTTAATACCGATACAGATTTTCTGTATTAAAATAAAGTACTGTACCTTTAATTCGTCATTCAGTCCGACGATATGTCACACTGGATGCAATCTAATATGAAGATCATCTGACTCCCGTGAAAATCACTTGACTTCGGAGATAGATAAGCAACGAAATATTCAAGTGAGCTTGTAAACTTGTCCTAAGCAAAATCTTTCTCACGAATAAGCTCTTTCGTCTACACTTTGTCTCGCGCACTCAAGTTTACTGGTTCTTGCGATATACTACTTTAAAGAAAACCAAGGTTTTTGTCTTCGACGGGAGAATCCTTTTCGAAAACTGTACATTTCAGAACGGGTCCGTATTACAACATCGACAATCATTTCGCTGACAATCATTTCGCCGACAGCTGATTTCACCGACAGCCATTTCACCGACACTCATTTTGCCGACAGTCATTTCGCCGACAGTCATTTCACCGACAGATTATTTCACCGACAGTCATTTTATTGACAGCATTTTTGTTGTATGTCAATTTGGAATAATATGTAGATTTGATAAAAAATTTTATTCGTAATGCCAATTGTGTATTTTATGAGAGTTGCTTGACTCAAACTGCTAAGTGTTGTATGCTAATTTGGAATTTATGTCAATTTAGAATTGACATATTAATATGTCAGTGTGGAATAATATGTAGTTAAACAAAAGATATATTAAGTATTTATTATTTATGTATATTAATGTTGTTATAAAAACGATTGTTAAAGGTTATATTGTACTAATTATTATAACAAATAAGTGATCGTGTTCTTACTAACGAGTTTATTAGTATGTATTGTATTGACTCGAACTCGATTTTGTTTGTTAAGTGTAGATCTATCACACACAGATAATTTGCTTGAAATTATTGGCCTCCATAATAATAAATGCACACCCTCCATATTCTGCACTGTATGGTTTTTTCGAATCCCCACCTATCACGAGGAACTTTTATTCACAACAAGGTGCTTGCTAAAGTGCCAGTTTAAGCTGTTTTTATCTATCTACATTACATGCAGAGGGAGAGAATAAAAGCTCATGAAGGGGGTTTATTGGGGATTGGGGGAGATCTATTTTTAGAAGTTTGAATAATTGACTGTATTTTTTTGGGGTGAATCCAGGGAGCTTGTGGGTCTATTTGTATATCAGTGGAGTGGAGGAAGAGGATACGTCCTAGGAGTTGGTTCAGAATGTCTTCATGGCATGGGGTGGGATTGTGCCCAAAGGCCCTTGAAGTAAAGGCACTCCAGAGAGTATGGCTATGGACTGGAGGGAGCGGAGTAGGTGGGATTGTTTATGTTGTGGAGTGAGGGTGGGGTTTGGTATATTAATATAACCATTTTTAGAACAACTTTAATATTACATACATATTTGACCTTGATCTTTCCTCTACTCTACACTCACTGGACAAAAGTCTACGTAATTTTTGCCGATCAATTAGTAAAACATATGAAAAAGCTATTTTTTCAAAC